AGCCTTTCCACCCTTTCGCTCTGCCTCCACCCAGATACGTGTGAGTTGCAGCAGATTGATGTAATGGCAAACTGTTGTGGTCGGCCTGGTGGCCCCTCGGCAACGCTTGTGTCCGTGCTCTCAAAGGGTTGAGCTCCTTTTAAGGAAAGAAAGCACCGAAGCAGCTCAGAGTGAGGACACTTGCCTGCACCAGAAACTCGTGCAGGTTACCCCCTTGGAATGCCCATGGCCCAGAGAGCAGACCCCAAGATGCGAAGGCAATACCAGGTTCCCAGTGATGCAGGCACTGAGGCTTTGCAGCTACACAGGCTTCTGCTTCAATAACTGGGTTGTGGGAGGGAGGTGACATCAGTCACTTGACATTTCCCACTGGAGGAGAAAAAGGTCAAAAAGCTCTTTCTTTTTAATGTCTCCACCCATACTCCTGTCCTTTATTTTAAACAAATAGAGAGTTTCTAACTTCATATAAATCTCATCTGTCTTACATTGATGTCTAGGATCACCTTGACTTGTTACTTCGGGCATCTTCTGTCAGCTGTCCAACAGTTTCAACCCAATTTTGCAAGATGAGTTCTTCCCACCTCTTCCACTCAGAAAGAAGAATATCTGTACACATTATATATTCCAGGTCCAGACTGTAATCTCTGACTATGGTGGTGATCACTTTTTTTCAGCGAGAAACCCTTGACTTCTGTTGGAAGTCTAAATGGTCATCTTCAGCATCAGACAGCTGCCTGAGCGGAAATGGCGAGCCCACAGCCTCTTTCTGGGATGGCTTTTTGGTTTTTAGCCATCGATGGTTTTTTTTGAACACTGAGATGGCTTTTTGGTTTTTACCCATTGATGTCCAGTTATGGTATGGGCAGTTATGGAAAAAGGAAGGTACTGCTTGCCTTTCTAGGCAAACGCTACCCCTGCAGCAAATGGCTTTTTCTGCATGTAATATGGCCCGACCTACAACTCACTGAATCATTAGCTTCCCACACATGGCTGGAATTAGGATACAGTGCCAGGGCAGAAACAGCCCTAAATTGCAACCGTCTACCGCATACAGGATGTTCAGTACTGATTATCCTCAAAAGGTGCACGCAACATTTAACCTGAAACTTGAACGGAGACGGTAAGAATCAGCGGAAGACATTTCAAATCAGCTCCTATGTTACAGGTTAGCATGGGAAATAGGGCTGCCTGTCCAAAATAGGCTGCAAAGCAGTAATTCTTAATGGAATGGAATTTCAGTGGGATGTGTATTTCTAAATGACTTAGATCAAAATTTCAAAAGGATATTTAGGAGAGATGGTCAAACAGAGTCTCTAGTGCCTTAAAGAGCTGAGAAAAACTAGCTCTTTGCCTGACTGAAAACATTCCCTGTGTTTTCTAGAGAAACTAAATGCAGAGCAGGTGGGTGAGCAGAGTGAAAAAAAAAAAAAAAAAGAAAAAAAAAAAAGTTATAGGTGCCAGATCGGCCTCAGGAGGAAATTTAGGGTGAAGAGGACAAGGAAGGGAGAAGATCTAGTGGACAGAGCAGCAGGAATGAAGCTTGCAGGAGGAAGCTGCTCAATACGTAGTGGAATTCTGGGAGTCACAACATTAAAAACAGCAAACTTATCAGGGAAATGAAGAAACATAGCAGTGACCAGAACACGTCTTTTGATACATTTCTGCTTTGCTGTGCTGCTTGGGGTTATTACTAGAAACTGTTGATGACTTTACTTCCACAAATGACCTTTTCACACCTGCTTATCATTTTTTGCATGGATCAGAAGCAACCCGTCTTGGATGTCTTTGTCTGTGGACACAAGTCAAAGTATACATTTCATGAAGCTCTGGACACCTCCCATATGAAATTTGCACCCTTTCTAGTCATTTTAAGTGAGACGCTCAAAATCTGAAGGCACCCAATAAAATCTGGCAAGTGAATTGAGTACTTTAACTTCTGAAGTCTACTACACCTTCATTCTCAGAGCGGGAGAGATGTTTCAAATGGTTCTCTCTATCAGCTCTATAGTACCATGTTCAAGTCTCAGTCTAAGGTTGGAAGAAGCAAAAGAGGAGATTTTTGAAAATATGCAGAGTAGCTAGAGCCTATCTTTATTTTCTAAAAATAGCTCATTTCCCCTAATCTTTGACCTTTAAAATGCTAAATTGATGAAAAGGGTAATTAAACTTTTGACTCCAGGGTTAAAGGTTTCATAAAGTGTTACTACAAATCTGAGTAAGCCAACGGTCATTTGAACATTTCTATCTCACAGACTGATTAAAATTTCTCACCTAATTTTAGTAAGATGATGTAAATACTTACTCTTTTCATTCAACAAACTGCAATTTCCATTGTTACCTCTGTAACACTACATGTACAAAAAAGTCCTCCGGAGCCTAGAGGCCCTCTTTGATAAATGTCTCACTCAAATTATCCTTCCTCAGTGCAAGCCATATGGACAGCTGATCTCTCAGGGTGTAACAGATTAAGTGGAATGCACTGTAAATCATATGTTGAAATAGAGCAAAGTGCATAGGGGATTCCCTTTTGATGAAGGAAGCAGATGGGACATTAGGAAAGTCACAAAGAGAAAAACTGTTGCCTGGTTGTATATGCTCATGTGCATCGCCTGTCAGTTACCATAGGCCACAGTTTCCCAGGTATGAGACAGACATAATGCCAGGAAATCTTTACAATACTCTCCTGCCTATCTATTGTCCTCCAAACTACTTTTTCAGATCATCCTTTTCCACCTGAGTTTGGGGATAGAAATGAGAAACTGATCTTAAGAGATGACAGCCTTGCGCTGAACGTTAAGCCTGTCTACACTGCCATGCCACTGCGTACACAGAAAGACAGTCACCTTCATCCCTAATACATCGATGGGATCATACAAGGCCAAACACCACTCCTAAGGCATTGGTTTATTCCTAACAGATTTTCTTTTGATGATGACCCAGAATGTGCATAGCAATCATACAGCTCCTGATATGTTTGGGGCACGTGTTCAGACCTTTTTTGTAAAAAAGAATTAATTTTTTCACTCTACTGTTTTCAAAAATTTAGTTTAGGGCTAGGAAGGGGAGCAGCAGATGAGGTAAGAGCGTATGCAGCTTTACAGAAAAGACAAACATTGCAAGTGCTGGAGTTGATACCTACAATTAAGATCATCCATAAAACAGAGTTACTGTGAATTGTCTTTGTTTCTGTTGACTACGGTAAAAGTCTCACTACAAGATGTGACCCTTCAAAACCAAAGAGCAATGGGTAGAGAAGGTGGCTGTAGAAAAAATGTTGAAGTCAGGACACGGAAAATCTAATTTATTGCTGAGTGCACAAAGTAAAACTAATGAGAACAACAGATGGAACTTATCATATTTAGGAGACCAAAGATAATATTTTCTCCTTCACTGATTACAGTAACTTTTAATATGTGTTTATATTGATATATAATTGAACTATTGGGAGAATTGTTACATCATCAGCAAATGTAAATTTCATCTTTGCTGGTTCTGTATGATATTTGCGAGGTGAAATAAATTCAATGCAATCAAAAATCCTGTGTGTTTCTTTGGGTTTAAAGAAGGGATTTTAAAAATTATTATTATTTTTGAAATCAAGGCTTAAATATTTGGTAGGGTTTAGTTACTGTGGGAGAAAGAAGGCTTAACTCCATTTAATGACTTGATACACAAGCAGTAAAGGCAAGATTTTGTCCAGAGAGCTTTGGACTGAGAAACAAAGCACTAGGGTAAGGGATCAGATTATTAAAAAAAAATTTAAAAAAATTAATTTGTTTATAAGGTATATCAATATGCATGTAGGAGCTGAACTTTACACTCACATTTTTCGTAAGAGGAGATCAAGTGGTAAATAGAGTGAAGATGCATAAGATGCTGCATTATCTACTAGCTGGTGGTGGAGTTTGGGAGTAGGCTCTATCCCTAATGCTGACACCATCCAGCTGTATTACCTTGACTTGGTTATTTTGCCTTCTGAGCCTCCCTTTCCACCTGCTGTCCTTTACTGGACTTCCTTAGACAATAAACATTTAAAGGTGCTTGCAATCTTTGTGTAAAGTCTTCCACCCTGACCCTCATTCTTACAATAGGAATGCAAAAATGATGAGCAATACTTTTATTTGTGGATATACAAACATAATTTGACAGTCACTCCTTCCTGAATTTTTTTATCATATATCATTCTGGGAGTCACTGTGCATTTTTTTTGCTCCCTCCCCCTGCTAGTAAACAAGCATCATGCTCAAGTGATATCATCTAGTCTTTTTTAGTAGACTACATGTGAGCTGATACATGAAGCGGTCAGCAGCATTGCTAGTCCTTGGTGTGGAGTCTGGGATCCTTAAGAAAAAACAGCATTTTGCAAAATCATCTCTGGGCAATAATTTTTTTTAATCCAATAGACTTTATCAATTGTTGACATTTACCTAGAAAAAAAAAAATTCAAGTGTTTTCTTAAGTTGTCCTGGTTAAAAATCAAGGGTAAATGAAGATCAGATCTTGGAATCTGAAACATATGAATACTATGTGTGTTCTAATATGTAATTTCTGGAGAAATCTGAATAGCAAATGACATATAAGATAGCATTCAAATTAATAATAATAATAATAAAAATAAAAATACCTGAGAGTTTACTGAATCTTTATCAAATCTCAGTTCAGACAATTTTGACCTGAAACCACATATTTAATTTCCATTTCCTACACAGAATGAAAACCATCTTTCCTGGGGACAATTTCATGCAATCAGTCATGCTTTAGAAATAAAATAAATAGTAGGATCTTTATAACTTCTCTGTGGATGAAAAGGCTTGCTGTCCATCAAAATACCTTTCCCAAAGAGAAGGTTGCACAAAACCACTAAGCACCTGAGTAATCCTATTCTGAACAAGATGAAAAGGCACAGGACCTGTTTGTATACCAGCTTACTATATAGTACTTTAACGTTATTGGCATGTTACATTATAGACGAGTATTTCTGATCAGACTAATCATCTTACCCAAGACTCTCTCATTCTTAGCACTCTGTTGTCCTCCAGTACTAGTTGAAAGGTCCTCTGGTACAGGCATAGGTTCATCTGCATCATCTGGGACATCACTAATTGGAGGACTTTCCTTTCCTAATAGTGAAGAAAGTAGCATCAGTGAGTCATCAGAGTAGCCTCATTTTCAAATAATACCATAAGAGGAACAACAAACCAAATAAAACTTAACAAAAAACCTGAACACTCCTAAACCCATGACATTATTAGGACCAAAACCTGCTGTCCTGCAGAGAAACCTTCTTTTGAATACAGGGGAATTATATTTGTGAAAAGAATGCACGGCCAATGTCTCTTCCAAATTTACTGAAGTCTGGATACAGAGTTGTCAGTCTTACCCTTTTGGATATTTGTAACACCTGTGGGTATTTTTTCAGCTGCTATGCTCAGAAGATCCAGTTTAGTCAACATACACTGACAGATTACAAGGACTATCAAATGGTAATCTTTTGTAAAAATTCTTTCTTCCACAAATGCCTCTTGAGAGCACATCTGGATTTGCTTCAATGCCATAGTGAAGTCTATATCCGCAAGTATCCTGGGGCTCTAACAGAACTACACAAAAAATAAAATTTTATCTCCAACTAACAATTCAGCTACATCTTCAGCAAGCTTCACTAATACCCACAGGTCAAGCTTTGGATGGTCCTTGAGCCTACAAGTAATTAAGTACCTGTAGCTCCCGAGACTTCTTAACAGACAATTAGCAGAGGTCAGTCAAAAAATGACTCCAAGGGGTTTATGTTCTCTTATTTGTAAAGAGGAAACAAACCCCAGTATCTTGTGTACACAAGGTTTGGTAGAAGAAAGCAGTCTGGTGCTTTATCATGTTTTCAGTATTATGGAACTTGTTTTAGTGCTGAATGCAATACAATAAGGAAAATAACTCTCTTGCTAAGTATTCCACTTCCAGAACTGGTGCAGTTTCTTGGTTTAGCTCTTGGTCACAGCATACATGCCCTGCCCACAGTAATATCCCTGTCTTGAAGAGCTTCATGACCTCGCACATCTGTAATAAAAGCATGCCTTTGAAACAGCTACCAGAAGCATTATCTAAGTGATTAGTTTCATTGACCATTACTAAAAGGCTGGTCTTGGCATTAATAGCAAAGAATGGAAGAGGCCCAGAGCAGGATTTGAACTCAGTAATGTTCACATAAGACCTTTGTCTCCAAAACGGAGATGTTACCAGTTTACACTGATGCAATCTATTAGACATCCTGTAGCAATCAGCACACGAACAGGGGCAGTAACTTCATGGCACAAAGGCCTAGCAAATTAGTGGGGTTTTTTTAATGAGAATTCCCTCATTAACACACTAACATTAATTAATTCTGAAATCACTTCTCAGAAAAGGAAAAATTTAAAACAAATATATGTTACTTATGTGACAACAGTCTGGTGATACCAGTTATGGATTTGCCCTGGAAGAAGAAAATGGTTTCCTCCCAACCTCCTGGATGGAGCACAGCATTGTGCTTTCTGATCTACACTGGTCACTGGTCAGGGGGGGAAATGACAGGTAGGTTTAAGCCATCTTCCAAATTAGCTGGTTTGGGCTGTTTGCACAAACATAGGTTTAAATGAACAAAATGAGTGGCTGATGGCATTTCTTAATGATGCACCTATCAGCCTGGGGAGTAATCTCTGAGCGGGAATTGTGGGAGTGGCATTAGGAGAGCGATCTAAAACTGCAGTGAGAGGACTCACGGGTAACGAAGGAACAGTCCTGCACTGGCAGAGGGGCCGACTAGATGCCTTCATATGGTCCCCCCCATCTCCAGGTTCTGCAGGGTATTCTTAAATGGGCAAAATGACACCCAGTGGATGCGAGTGCAAGAGCAAAGGTGGATTGTGTAAATGGAAAAGAAGGACTATGAATTTTACAGCAGAAGAAAGTAAAAGCAGAAAGTAAGTCCATTAAAACAGTTTTTGCCATTCACTGTTTAGCTCCTTATTTAGTTATTCCTGTACTTTTCTGCACTATTTTTATGGGATGTAAGGAACTTAAAGAACTGCCAACAACTCTCCAGTGCAAGTCCCGTCCTGTCGAGCTGAGGCATCTCTAACAGGATGAGGTGAGGAGAGAGAGATGAAATATTTCAGCTTTTTCAACATTTTTTTTTCCCCCAACAAAACAAAAACAAAACCCCAGAAGTTTAATGGGCGGAGGGGTGGGGGGGGCAAGAGGCAGGCTGGTCAGAATCAGCCCTCTTCATACTATATGCAGGTCAAGGAAATTTTTTAAAAAGTAATAGTAATCAAAAGCCACCTGCATCTTCCAAGGTCCAAATTGTGCTCCCAATTACAATGGAAATTGATGCTTTGATTAGTCTAGATTCAGAACACTTACCCTAAAAACCTGAAGGCTTTTTTGGCTACAAACCAATTTAAACACATAATATTAGAGCTATGAGATAACAGATAGTAAACAAAATCAAAACTTTCTTACTGTGTAATTAGGCATCCTACAACAACCAGGCTAAGTAGGAGGCTTTGCGGGTAAGTCAAAGCAGTCTTTTGGAACAGAAACCAGTTAGTAGACCAGTACTTTCACAGTTTATGGTGAACTGTTTGGTTCACTAAACAGATAACAATCTTCTGCTTGTTAAATTAACAGCCATTTGCCCAGGTGGCCTGAATGAGACTAGCCTCACACACGTGGTGGGGCAGAAGATGAAGATCTGGTATGCTTCCCTGTTTGCAGGAGACTGCAGTTAAGGAAACTTAGTAAACTTGGCTTTAATGACTCATTTCATATTATTTGATTTCTTCCTGTCACACATGATCGAGAAATCCCTGCATGCAAAAAGGCTGGGTAAAAATAGTGGATTTAAAAATAGATATATTTGTTGAGCTCTGTGTCTTGAATTCTAAAGCATGATATTTGTATTTCATGCCTTAACAACATCTAAATTGTTACACCACGATAAGTTCACTACTGCATAGTAATCTTACAGATATGCAATCTCACTAACATCCTTTTGCCAATGAATTTAGAAATGGAAAGGGGGTGGAGGAAAGGAGGGAACGGTTTCCCATTTAATTTCTAACAGGCATGTCCAGAACAATAACTGGTTGAAGGGATGGAGTTAAAAAAAAATCTAGTGGCAAGTACTAGGGTAAATTACTAAAATGTCACATAACAGAGCAAAGTACCATAGATTTGTTCCATTTCCATTTTATATTTTTGCTCAAAAACAAGGAGTGAAGCATAAATAATGCAATCTAATCTTGGGGGTGTGTGTCTTTTTTTAAATTTTGATAAAGAGCCACCTGATGTATCAAATGAAAAAGATAAGGGAACTGTAGAGCTGAAGTTCTGTTTCTGGCACTGCCACTGATTCATGGTGCCTTTGGTTAAGTCATAAATGGAGATAACTTCAACTGCAGGCTGTATCATACATTCCTCCAATTCATCCTGAAGCTCTGAAAGATGGTCTCAGATTTCCGAACACCACCATTTCTGTATGAAAACTGTCAGAGAAGTGCCTAACCTATCAATGGTGCCTGGTAAGATCTTCAACTTCTCTCTACTTGAGTTTCCTCATCTCTGCCCTAGCAAGATTGTTAAAGAAATGAGGAAAGAGAGAAAGGGAACAAAGTGCCCAGCCCAGTAAGGTTTTATGCATCCTTTATTCCTAACAAAGCCTGTAAGCCTGGCGTTTCTTTAACATCTCCATTCAGTTCTGAGAACAATTCAGTTCATGCCAGAATGGTGCTGCTGGAGCTATGACTGCTAATTCTCTATCCTTTCACAAACTAATGTTGGGTGTATTTAATACCTGAGGGTTGTTTCTAATGGAAACACTAGAATCACTGGAGAAGTTATGCAGGAAAAGCAACATACATATTTTTCTGGATGAGAGTCGCAACCCAATTCACATCCCTTTTTCACTAGTGAAACGTCAAGCCTCCAGTGAGAAGAAGAGAGTCGCTCTGGGATGAGAGCCAGGCTTTCAGATGGGAGATACCAGCCCAGTATACATTCATTTCCACCTTCCCAGGACCTAGCAAGAACATCGAATACAAAACTCTCCCTCCTGCTTTGGCGGAGCATGGCACAGCCCCGTTAGTGCGATGGGGATCTTTTTATGTTAGATGTGGAAACATTTGTACTGTTTTTTCACCTTCCTGAACTGTTAGGCCATAGAACTGAGAAAAAAAAAAAAAAAAGACAAAAAAGGCAGGAAAAATACTGCTTGTTAAGTGAGATATTATCAGTGTTTTCTGAATCTCGTGTATGGGTGCCGGATACCGTTTGGTTAAATGTATGTCAGCTCTCTCCTCATTTCAGAACTGCAACTGCTTGCCTCATGAAATACCACTTTCAGGAGGAAAACAAAAAGTGTGAACTCTGTGCTAGTCACACAGTATTTCAGTTCCTGTAGGAGCCAGCCATGCCTGCATTCCCAGAAGCAGGTTCGGGAATGCCTGTGAATGCTCAGGGTTTGGCTCCCTCACACTAGTTTTATACTCTCTTGGCCTGGCTTGCCCCTGCCACACCTGAAGCAGCTACAGATGTGTAAAGCACATGGCTGTGTAAAGCACTGCTTTTGAGCTGAGAAGACTGTTTCTAGAGACCCATTTTATTTCTGTGTTAAAAAACAAACCAAAAAAACCAACCCCAAAGACCCCCTCCCCCAACCTAATTTTTTTTTTTTTTTTTTTAACACAACCAAGTGTACTAGTGAACCAAGTCACCTAATTCCATAGGCTCAAAGAGGAAGCTACACCTGACGAGCATTACTCACAGAGCAGGAGAAATAAATAAAAGTGGTTTTCAGCTGACAAGACAATCTCACACCCCTGAAACTGTGCAATTGTCCAACTGGTTCCCAATATATAGTAGAGCTCCCTCATAATGCAAGGAAGCCTCCCAGAAGCATGTAGAACCCCCGGAGGAGGAGAAGAGGGGGGGAAACTCCTTTCTGGATTTGCCAGGCTATGAGAAAGAAGTTGGTAACATCCCTGTACTGTCAGATCCTCTACTTTTGAGGTCTAGTAAGAGCTTATGAAAAGCCAATATGTGTGGAACCTAACCTGACAAACTCCTGTTTCCAGAAGGCTGAGTTCACACACAACTCAGTTCATAAATGAAAGTAAATTAGTATGTCCTTTCATTGGCCAGTTGTTCACAAGTCCAGCTAACAATCCAACACAACTCACAGGCTCTGCTCACAGAAGGTACCAGATGCTGAGTGACAGGAACAGCGGCAAGAGTTCAAAGCAGATTATTTTTTTCTGTAATCTGTTTATGTAGGTCTACCTCTTGTCAGAGGTAAAATTCCTCTTACACTGATATATTTTATCACAGAAGAGTACTATTCTCATCAGCATGATTTGCTAGAAAAGCTAAAGGGCACAGTAAAGTACTGCAGTGGTTCAAATCCTGGAAAACTTGGACAGCTACAAACTATATACCTACATATATATATATATTATGTACATATTTACATATACACAAACCTTCAAAATGGCAAAGTTTCTTCCAAATCTCCCCTCTCAAGGGGAGAGCCAGACCATAAGGAAGACAAAGTGTTTGACCTTCTAATCCACTCCTTGACTCAAGGCAGCATCTCCCACACTGCTCCTCCCCATGTCAAAAGAAAAAAAAAAAAAGCAAAAAAAAAAAAGCAGCAATGCCCTGGTAAGAGGTAGCACGTGGGGAGCTCAGATTAACACCGTTCTAAAAACAATACCACAAAGGTTAAGTGTGGATATCCATGTGAACCTGTGCTGCTGCAGAGGAAGAGGAGGTCAGCGGTCCTGCTCCCAGGAGCTCAGGCAAGCAGGAAAGGGCTTCTGCAGTGGGCAGAGGAGCTGCACTCCAATCACAGCACCTCCCTCCGCTCGGAGCAGATCCACAGTGCTTCGTCTGCACAAGGGACTAAAACCCCACTGCTTTTTCTGCTAGGGCCACACATGCTCCAAGCACAGGATGTACAGGACAGGTTTTATTTCATTTACAAATTGTTTCAGCATGCAACAAAACACCAATGTGGAAGTATATCCAGTTACAATTTTAAAATTGTTACCTGAGGAGTGGAGTGCAACATGCCTCCATAGGGCTGACTAGAAATTACTTCCCTGTACTAAACATAACTGAAAATCTTCTGTTGGCGTGAAGGATTATTCTATTGTTGTTCTTTCAGATGGAAAATGTCTGTGATTTTCCATTTTCAGATGACACTAAAAGTTCTGGGTTCCAATTTTTGAGAAAACTCCTCAACGTTTTTAGAAAGGAGGGAGAGAAAAAAAAAAAAAAAAGACAAAGAAAATTGTGTTCATATACTTCAGGAAAACCCAGTGACCTAGCCACCCACACTGCACCCAGACCTTCATGATGTCCTGTAGTTGATCTCCAGGTCCTGAGCTGGCAATGCCCAAGAGCTGCCTCTTAAAGAAAGAGCCCCACGCCCAGGTGTCTGCCAGGAGCCGCCTGGGTGATGGGGCTGTGGTGCTCCAGGCTGAACACTAAAAGTGAAAACTGAAAGCCATTAACCGTTGCAGCTGCCAACATATTAGGGAAACTAGGAAAGAGACTTAACTTGTCCTTTTTCAACTGCAGAGGTGCAACGGTATGAATATGTATTATCTTGCTAAGCCCATGTTTTGTGGAACCAATTTCCAAGGAAGTTAAGAATAAAACCCCCCTGTAGGAATATCAGTATGGGGTAAGACTGCAAAATCCTATCCATGCTACTACCGGGAAAATTTTGGAAACCTAAATTCGCTGTTTAAAAATTTATTGAAATGTCAATCAGACCTCTTTTTTTTTTTTTCCTTTTTTTTTTTCCTTTTTTTTTACGTGTTTATAAGTACAACTGAATGCTCTGGAAAAAAGTCAAATAACCCTATGCGGTAAATACAGTTTGTTTGCTTTTAATTAGTATTCTCCCCCTCCCACCTGGTGAACTTTGTTTGTTCTATATTTATTTTGTAACAATCAGAATTTTGCTCCCAAAAGAAAGAGTGTAAATGTGCACCTGACCATGCCTCAGGGATACACTACCACAGGCTTAATGCAAAATTACCTCTATGCTTCTATATTCCCTTGACTTCTTTATTTACCCAGTTCCTTCTAAAAAAATATATATTTATGCACTGTTGGTCTTGATATCAAGTGATATCATTAATTATATCTCAATTCCCACTCTGGTCTTAAAAAAGACCCAAAGCAATTTTATCGACAACAAGAAAAACACTGTACTGTACTAGAAAGATGGGCAGGAATTTAGGATTTTCTTTGTAGAAGTATTCGTTAAGGACCTCACCTGAAACCTGGGACATATCTTGAGCCTCATCTGTTTCCATTTTCCTCAAGTTATCTGAGAAGAGAGGAAGAGCCTTCAGTTAATGCAAAATAACACACACATATACACAGAGAAAAAGGAAAAAAAAACACCCAACCCCACACACACAGAGAAGGAGAAAGAAGAGGAAAGAAAAAAACCCCTTTGCTATTTAACTATAAGATTATCTGGGAAGAATAATGTATTTTTCTCTTTATTTCCTCCCTGCATACTTGCTGGAGTATCAGACTGGCACAGACCTTGATCCTTTTAAAAACAGCATTACAAAGATTTATAAAAATATCATTACAAGCACAGGAGGACCAAATTTGTTATTTATTGTTAATTTCCTACTGCATAATAACCCAAAATGCAAACTGACTGCAACAAAATTAAGCAGAAAATTAAATGGCCCTGGGTCATTGTAGGCACAGAATTCATTCTCTTGGTTGATCCATAGTTATGTTCTTTCTAATTTACTGAGCATGCATCGATGAACCTTGAGTCAGCTTGGTGACACGCGTACAATCAGCAATCAAAAAACGAAGCAATTTGCTGAAGAATGTCTCATTTACCCAGGCAGGGCTGCATATCTGAGCAGCAACCGCCACTACCTCCATTAATAATGAATACACCTCCAGCCGCAGCAGATGGGCAGAGCAGCAGCTTCGGGCTTTGGCCCCTCGCTCGCCCGGGAGCCCTTCCTTCAGACCGCACCGGCCCAGCGCAGGGGAGAAGTACAGCTCCTGAAAATAGCGAAACGAGCCCAGGAGGGAAAGGGAACCCGTGCCTTCCTGTTTTGCTGACAGATGGCTGGCTCCGCGGCGTGGCGAGCGATACTGGGAAGCTCCTGCCCTCCGCTTGCGACACACCATCTTCCGAGGAGCCAGAGACCAGTGACCACAAGCACCAGGGAGAAGCGTGTGGAGGGTTAGTGGGGTAGAAACAAAATTCAGGTTTTAACTCAGAAGGGGACCCTGCAGGTCTCAGGGCTCGAGCGCAGGCTGCGGACAGCTGGTGGCCCCTTGGATAATAGATGTGCTGCCAGAGCAGGTACTCCCAGTACAACCTGGTCCCCACCTTGAAGTATGGCGTGGGCAGCTGAAGTACCCTCAGGTGGGGAGGGGACAAAAAGCCTACAAGCTCTTTGTTCAGCCCCGTTATGCTAGGTCTGGTTATGCTGGTGTGGCTGCCTTCACATCCTACCAAGCAGAGGAGGTGGCTCTCTACTGTTCCTTATAACTGGATACCTGCCCCATCAACCCTCTTTCCTGCAATTAAAGATGATGCATTTTCTTGCGAGTTGGAAGCAGAGGAGGATGTGTAGGAGTTCCTACAGAAAGAGTTCAAACCTTATCCTAACCTTTTTAGCCCAACTTCCATAATTTATTTCCCCCCCCCCCCCCCTCAAAAATCTACCCCAAAAAATCTTCAACCTGCTACCCAACAAGCTGCAGTGGGAAAGCGTAATAGCTGTGATCAGATTTATTAGTTTCGTAAGTTTTATGGCCTCCTCACTTGCCTCTGAATGTCATCAGTACATCTGAGATCCAACATACTGCTGCCTCCCCCTCGCAAAAGCTGGCTTCCCTCACCAGGTTCATGCTAGACTTGCAAAAAGACAGTATGTAGACTTTGGGACTGCAGATAGATAGGTTGGGGAACAGATTTTGGTCTATAGTTTGCAGAAAAAGTTTGGTATTCTCGCAGAGCATTCTGCCTGTTGCACATGTACCATAGCACTGCTCAATATCCAATAACGCTCTGTCTTGCTTTATTCCGCTCTTAAACTTTAATTCTAGACAAGCAATTTGTTTAATGTCTATATAAAATTCTCAGAAATTACTACAGCCATGCAAAACGCAAAAAGCCACCTTCCACTCAACAATTTGCATCAGTTCCTATGGGACTGAAGAGCTTTCAATAGGTCCATTTTTAAGGAAGTAGTCAGTGGGAAATGCAGCTTCTCTTGCAGGAGGGAAAACCCTATAATGGGAGCCTGCTCAGTTACTGGAAATGTGGTGTATTTACAGCAGGTGGTATGGTACAAGTGCTTGGTATAGTCCCTTATTTCTCCTGTAAGCATGACTGAACGCAAAGGAAGAAAAAAAGAAATGCCCGTGCATCTATTACTGCCTTTGAGGGTCACCTGCCTACAATAAATCAGCTGATTACTACACATTTTTCCACAGAGTATGGTGAATCCCAACCAACCAAAGAAAACATCCCAAGAAAATGCTCAGCAGAAGGAAGCCACACTCACGAAGGGCACTTTATTCCAACTGCACCTGCCTTCCCCTTATTGCTAGGGCTTCAGCAGCACTGGGAGCGACAAGGAGAGGAGGTGGCAAAGGACAAAATTTCTTCTATTTTCATATTCCTGAATTTACCTGCCTTTGACATGACAAGCCTTACATTCAGCATTTCTGCAACTTAAGCAGCACACTTTATTTTTTTTTTTTTTTTAGGCTTGCTTGCTGTGAGGTTGGATGACTGCCTGTCCTGAAACCGATGCCCTCAGTTCTCAAAGAGATAACTTCAGAGTTTATCCTCGAATTAGGTGATTTTAGGACACTCGGCAAAGCTGATCCATTTTCTGGGGATGAAACACTGAGATAAAATAAAGCTGGTGGAAAAGTGATGAGGGAAAGATTTTTTTCCCCTAAGGATTACTTAGAACAATTAACATAGTTCCTAAATGTAGATTAGGATCCACAAGCCCTAAGCACATTGATAAAAGAAAAAAAAAAAAAACCAAAACAAACTTTAAAAAATCCTAAAGAGTGTTTTGAATCCCTCCAAAGGGAAAATTGTACTCTAACACTTTGGTATCCTGTGGTACCTGGTAAATACCAACAAAATCCCAGCTAACTTCAGCTTAGGCTCTTTATCAGCAAAGAATACATGACAGGACCCCAACCCCCCCAATTCTGCAATGACAGCAGTGCCTTCATTTTGGCTCTGCAACTGTTAAAAGGTTTTTCATACTGGATTTCAGCATAATGTGTCTTAGGCTAAATTTTAAGTGCTAAGTTACATCTCTGTCTTTGGTATGGTAAATCTATGAATAGGAAACTATGCCCTTCTTTCCCTCCCTTTCCTCCTCTACTCTACAATCAGCAGAAACATTGCCGCTGCCTTCCCAGAAAGCAGGAGTGCCCTATGTACAGATATAAGAATTTGCACCAAAGTATCTACCTGATATCAATTTGTAAATTCATAGATCTTTATAAAGATTTATCTAAAAGAACACCATTTTAGAAATGTTTATGACATGAAACCCTAAATAACTGTCCATTTTGGCAAGAAAAAGAATTGTTTTGCAATTTTTCATTGTAAGTTGTATCTACAGAATCAAATTTATCACTAGCATAAGAAGCATTCACTATCTTCAATGCAGTAGCATCTATTTAGGTTAGCAGCTAATTTAGGAGCCTGAAGTTAGAAATCAAAAGCTGGGTGGGCAGCTGACCGAAGCAATCTTACTCTCAAATGCTGAACGTGTGTCGCTCTCATTTATAGCAGGAAAGGGATCAGCACCTAGGTGATAATAGATATTTCTTCTATTTAGGAATCCAAACAGCTTCAAAATTTGTCCCCTTATTGAAAGAACTACCAAGTTCCCTTCAAAACAGATAAAACTATTTTTTCAAGTCTTTTCTGATACAGAACTGTAACCTGTATGTTTTCCTCTTCAAACTCCAAATACCAGATTCACAGATGAAGCTACCATAATGCTTTGGAAAAAGAATTAAATGTTGCAATCTGAAGCTAATTAATAATCAACACACACAAAACCTGAAAGGCTTTGTTGATTTTGTTTTAAATAATAAAGCACCTAACTGACCACGCTCCCCAAAAAATTTTTGGAGTTAAATTAGTCAGCATTTGTCCAGGATACCATCCTGAGCCCAAAGAAAATTTACATGTGACCTATTTCCCTCCTTGCAACTCTGTCTACAATACAACTTGTGCTACATCTTAAGAATATTTCAAAATACGCCCCATGAATCACTGAGGTACTGCTCCATTTATACCTGGTGTCTATTACAACCAGAAGTGGATTTGGGACATTTTAGGATTCCGGGTGTAAATAGGAAGAAGTCATTGCAAGGTCAAGATTTTCTAATCTTTCAGAATAAGGCAAATTAATTATTTGCAAGTCTTGGTTTATTATTTCATCTCCTGTTTTACAATGCAAATTCAAAAGTAAACCTCCTTGTCAAGAAAATTAATGCTTAGCATTTATACACTTTTATCAATTCGAACAAATGTGTAAGCATGTCACTCGTTCTACAAACCCTGCTCTCTTAGGATATTAAAAGATGGCAAGATTGGGCCATTGATATAATTCAATGGAATGACCTAATCCAAGGCCAAAGACAAGCTATTTTGCTTTCTTCTTTGTTCCCTAGCTACATACTTACTGACTTCTCGTGCTTCCTTACTGACAACACGTGCTTCGCACTCAGCACAATGGGACCTCACTTACGCTGTAGAAATGAAATCACAAATTTTGATATTTGTGGAGCCGCTTTGGACTTACACCGAACAGACCTAAGCCCAGAGCTGGCCTTCCATCTACAGAGAGCGCTACTTCTGGTGCTGCAAGGAGTACGCAAATGTACACCACATCCAGCGGCGTGTTTCCTGACTATTTGTAGGTGTAGCCTGGCTGAGCAGACAGAAAGGTCCCTGAAGGAACACTTCAGTCTTGAGGACACCCCGCCAGGGCAGGTTACTCCTCTACACGAAGCCTCAGAGCAGAAAAAAATACGAGCGCTCAGGAAGTCTGGAGGAAGGGAGAAAAAACCTTCTACAAGGGACCCGGTGTTTTGCAGGTGCTTTTGCAACTATAAAAAGAGAGGGGAACGCGCGTCCCTCAGCAGTGGCAGCTCTGGGTTAACTGCGATGAAACAAACAAGCAAAGAGGCAAACCCCAGCCTTGCTTCCACAGCCGCCCCGGGGAAAGGGCGATTTCACAACCCCCCCCCTCCTCTGCTTGTGCAAGCAGCCCCACGA